TGAGGGTCACCCCTCAGCTGCCAGGGGTGCTGACCCCCAGGTCACCCCCTCACGGGTGCAGACCCCCAGGTCACCCCTCAGCTGCCAGGGGTGCTGACCCCCGGGTTACCCCGGCTGTGAGGGGTGTGGACCCCCAGGTCACCCCTCAGGGGTGCAGACCTCCAGGTCACCCCCCCATTCCTGTGGGTGCCCTCCTCGGCTGGGTGTTCCTTGACTCGGGTTTTTAGGAGGAAGCTGCCCGTGATTAACTCGGTAACAAATCTGGAGGTCAGTTCTGGTTCCGCAGCTTAGATCCCGGCAGGGTTTGACTCACAATAACCAAAACAAACCCGTCTTTAAAATGATTTTAAACTGTTTGCGTCCCGCGGCTGCAGCAGCAGCAGCGCTGCCATGCCGGGGTTGGTGACTTCAGCTGCTCCAGCGCTGCCTGGAGGATCGAGAGGTTTGCATCCTGCTGGGAAAGCACGAGTTTTGGTAGCTGCTGGTTTATGAGGCTGATTTTCTTTCTCTGGTGGTTTCCAAGAGCTGTTCCTCCAGCCCTGGGCTCGCTGGGTCCATTCCCTGGCCTGTTGGAGGGTGGCAATCCTGTTGGCAGTCAGCGGGGTGTGCCTGGCCCTGGCATTCCCGGCCAGCCCGGTGTCACCAGCTGTGCCCTGTGTGTTCTCTCCGCAGGCTCCTCCGTTTCCCGTCTCTCCAGGATGAGAGAGGCCTGGGCCCGGCTCTCCCCCTCTCCCTGTAGTTGATAGTTTGGGAAGCAGAGGTGATGCTGGAGTCGAGATGGCCGACAGCGTGAGAATCTTCCTTCATGACCTCGTCAGGGTGAGGCTCCTGGGCTGCTCCTGCTGCTTTGGGAGCGCCCTCCCTCCTGTGGCATTGCTTTTCTGCTCTTTCAGTGCAGATTTTGGGAATTAATAAAGGTTGAAAGAGTCTCCCTGGTGTAAGTCTTGTGGAGACTGCACTGGCTGAGACATGGGGTGAGTCTGTGCAGGGATTCCTTCCAGGATTTCTGTGTTTGGATAAAATCAGGTGCACAATTGGTGTGCAGCTGGTTCTTGGTGACTTTTCTCCAGGTGTATTTCAGTATTGTTGTGTGATGTGTCTATTGCAAAGGGCTCAGTGTTTGCTGAACTTTTCCAAGGAAGGAAAAGGGTCTCCAGGTGTATTTCAGTCTTGTTGTGTGATGTGTCTATTGCAAAGGGCTCAGTGTTTGCTGCTGAACCTCTGACAAATTTCCTTTGGGCACAAATTAATGAAAAATCGCAATAATATCAATAATAATATTGATAATATTGACACACCTCTGTCTCCCTGTGCTGTTTTCCTCTTCTTCCCTGTGTATTGTTCTATATTGTAATCTTATAATTAATAATAATTATAAGATTACAATATATAACAAGACACAAAGTTTATAATATATTTTAATATAGAGTGTATAATATTGTGTATAATAACAACAACATAATTATAACAACAACAAAATAATAATAACAACAATATTAAATGAATGTCTGTGGCCACAGCAGCTCTGTCCCAGCAGTAAGGTCTGTGTCACCTCATTGTTCCCACCCTGTCTTCCATCACCCAGGGTTAAATACAGGCTAAAAGCCACTCATGCTGTGTCACTGAGCAATAACTCATGCTCAGAAATAACTCTGTTTGGGAAACAGACAAAGGTTTGATCAAAGCCCTGTGGCCACAACCTAAAAGCAGGAGTTGTGTCATTTCCCAGGGCTCCTACACAGCCTGGGCCAGGGACATGAATTTGGGATTGGAATTTATCCTCTTTGGGCAAGAACTCTGTGAACCCAACCAGGGTGGTGACACCATCCTGGCTCATCCTTAGGATCTTTATTTTAAAGGGAAATTGTGATTACAGTGGATATGGGATCACCTGGAGCTGGGAATAATGGGACAGGATCCCAGAGGGGTTTGGGTTGGAAGGGACCTTTAAGTCTTTCTCATTCCTTGTCCCTGCCAAGGGCAGGGGCACCTTCCACTCTCCCAGGGTGCTCCAAGCCCCATCCAGCCTGGCCTTGGGCACTTCCAGGGATGGGACAGCCACAAGTTCTCTGGACAAGCCAAGTCCTGGAGGCAGCTCTGCAAATATGCCAAACATGCAGTAAGGGAAAACTTCTGGGCACTCTTATTAACAGGCATGGATGTGGCTGATGGGAGGAATTTTCTGAGATGAGGACAGATGCTTTTATTTGTGAAGGTATAAGCATCAAACTCACAGCATACTCTGAGACTTCACACATCCCAAAGATTGGTGTAATTCCATTTTACTGGCCTCAGAAAGCTGGCAGGGGATGAGGGGCTTCCTGCCAGCCAAGGCTGGGAGAGATCAGACTCTGATTTTTTGCCAGGGTTTTAAATAGTGCAGATTGGAAGAGAATTGCACCTTTACAGATAAAATTACTGCTGGTCACAGAGATGCTGGGACGTGCAGTGATTTGGGTCACTGGGCCATGGAACAGAGGTGGTGCTGCTGCTCCAGCTGGGCCCAAGCAGCCAGGGAGTGAGGCCAGCCGTGGCACCAGCAGGGTTTGCATGGCCTGGCTCAGCCACATGCCATTGCTCCTCTCTCCTCATGCCCACAGGGAATCAAGGACTCCATCTGGGGCATCTGCACCATCTCCAAGCTGGATGCCCGGATCCAGCAGAAAAGGGAAGAGCAGAGGCGCAGGAGAGCCAACAGTGCACTCGCCCAGCGGAGGTTT